AAGACAAGTAGTGATTCTATAGCATCTTACTATGCTGATGGACAGTGGCTGTAATGGGGTATGTGGTGGGGACTTGATAATAGGGGGAGTCTAGTAACCATAATGTTGCTCATGTAATTGTACATTAATAATACCAAAATTAAAAAAAAATTTTTAATGAAATGAGAAATACCTTGAATGATGCTACAAAAATGCTTTGCTTTAGTAAACAAAGACCAGTGTGCCTGAACACATAAATCTGCTACGTACAGAAATCCAGTGGCTCAGCAGAGATTTCAAAAGAACATTTAAGCTAAAAGGTAAATTCAGAAGTGCCTTCAAGAAAAGCGGAGGCTATACTTTGCTGAGTACTTTGAAGAGAAACAATGACTGTAGAAGCTAGCTTTCTTAGTAGACCTTTTTTTTTAATCATGTGAACTGGCTGCCCCAGTTTCTTCTGCAAGGCACTAGAAAAAAAGTGCTCTGACCTTAAGTCACAAGATCTCTAAATTTCAAAGGAAAACAAAATCTCTGGAAAAGTCATGGGGCAAAAGCAAACCTTGTGATGCTGTTTGAGTGTGATAGTGAGGAAGGCTATCAGCAAGTCTCAAGCATTGCTGAAAACCACGTGGAAGAACTAAAAAACAAAACTGAACTATCTCTTCCCTCCCTTTCAATACAAATGTGCACCTGGGTGAAGGATCCTTTTCTGACTCTTCTGCTCATTTCCAAACAAGTGGCCTACTTGGATATGGTTTAAAAAAGAGAGAGAGACAGAGAGAGAAAGAAAAAACTGCATTTTACTTATACTACATTAAGCTGCATCAGAGCTGATATCCTTTCTGAGGAAGAAGAACCAACCCCCACCCCACCCCCACACTAGGCTAATAAATTGTGCAAAATACACATACAAAGACACAAAACTCTTCTCTGTTCAAAAGAAAATTATTATTGGTTTATTACATCCACACTTTTGATTAGGTAACATATATGAGCTGCAGTTATAACATTTTTTGCAAAGGTCTTTGAGACCTAAAAATTATTTCAAGGGATCCTTCAGAGTAAGATTAAGAAAATTTGTTCTACTGGCTTAAGGAAGTTTGCTTCTACAACTGATTTGCTACAAGTTGTTATCATGAATGCCTGTTAAATTTTATCAGCAGCTTTTCTGTATCTGAGATGGTTGTATGATTTTTCTTCTTTATTCTCTTAGTATGACTTACACTGATTTTCAAACACTAACCACTTACATTCCTAGAATAAACTTCTACTTTCTCACAATTTGTTTGTATCTTTAAAAAAATTTTTACACTTGTACTATGAAAGATCCTAGTATATAATTTAAATACCTCACTTAAAACTGTAAATAAAGGCAGGTTCTTGACCCAGCCCTGCTATCAACCAAAGCTGTTGACAAGCCAGTCATTTAATTTCTCTGGACTTCATTCAGAGTTTTTAAAACTCAAACATAATGTTCAGAATTAATTCAGACAGAACCTAGGCCAGTGATTCTCAAATTTAAACGTCCCTCAGAATCACCTTAAGAGCTTATTAAACCAGACTGCGCAGCTGCACTCCCAGAGTTTCAGATTCAATAGATCTAGAAAGGCCCAAGAACAGTATTCTAACAAGTTCCCAGCTAATGCTGATGCTGACAGTACTCAACCAGACTCTCCAAATTTCCCAACATGATATTTTAGGTAACCAAGATATAGCCACATAAAGGGATAATGGTGAGATCAAGAGAAAAACTACTCTGCCAAAACAGAGTGCACCACCGATTGGCCATCTGAGAACTAAAGCAGAGTCTCAGATGGAGAAAGACGCCGCCTTCATAAGCCAATTTGCAAGATAATTCAGAGTGTTTTTCAGACTTACTCTTTTAAGCTATAAAACTTGTTTCATATTAACTGTTTCTATTTAAAAAATCCTTCTAAAATGGGCCATGAAAGTCTTCTATATTCTCAAATGGGTTCACTGAACATAATTTCATCTTTTTATGTCTCAGTTTCTATTACAATGCAGACTTCAGGCTGAGGTACGACAATAACCATCTCGGCAGCTAGTGAGCTGTGTTGGGCAGTTTGTCCCTCTGTCAAATGTTCTCAGGATTATGGTTTTGAAGTTCCTGTACCTGCCTTTCTTTCCTGTTTAGTACTTGCTACTGTAAATTACACTGTGTCAATCTTCCTGAACTTCCTCCACATAACTGTAATTCTCACTGAGCAATTAGAGTTCCTCCAAAACAGAACAAATAAACTGAGATTTCCCCTTGTTTTCTTTCTTGGTTTTTATCAGTTCATCAAAAGGGTACATAAGGGACAATTTGAAGACTTTCTAATTATCGGTTTACAGATCATCTTTCATATGCACTCTTTCCCTTTCATAACAGGCCCTCCCTTCTTTACGGAAAAGCAGCTAGAACCCTTACCTCCCCCCAGAATCAATGATGTATGGCCTGGAGATGTAATAAATTCCAGTGATCCCAGAAAAGTACAAATCAAAAAAATGTTTGGCGAAAGCCTTCATAAACGGTAAATAGCTGCCAGATGTCTTTTCCAAGTCATATGTATTTTTGTAAAAATTAATAACAGGGTATTGGAGTGCCCAGTAGGACATTTTAAAGTCTGAAACGTTACAGTTTGTTGGTAATTGAGAGTAGTTTCCTTTCAAGAGCTTTGTCTCTTCTGTTCCCACAGCCCCCACCTCCATGCCCAAGAAGCACTGCTCTTTGGGGAGAGTCTAATAACAGCAAAGTGAAGACAACACTGGTATGAGATACCTAAGAAAAATACTACATTTTTTCCAAGTATAAAACTAGATCTTTTCAGAGGCGGAGCCAAGA